GATCTCCTAGTCTCATACTTAGCTCTCCCTAAACTTTTGCAAGTAAGACCCAGGGGCACACGGTGTGCATCTGCCCTTGATGGATGTGTTCTAACGTCTATGAACTTTTGTGCAGAGATCTCTGGTTCGACTTCAGGCTGGGTCATATGCATATGGTGGTTATGCACAGTTGTTTTTCCCCCTTTTACTTTCCTTTGTATACTTTTTTCCCCCAACCGAGTTCCTCTCTCCGCCTCGAGTTAACAGAGCACTCCTAATCCACAAATGTGGTTTTGGAAGACTCTGCCTCAGGACTCCGAGTCCGTGGTAGTCGGACGCGCTCACTCAATTTTTGGTTTCAGGTTATGTGCTATCTATCTCCCAATCACATACTTAGCCCTCCTCTGAACTTTTGCAGTAAGACCCAGTAGCACATGGTGTGCATCTACCCTCAATGAACATGCGTTCGACACAATTGTGCAGACATCCCTGGTTCGACTCCAGGCTGGGTCATTTGGTGGATGTGAATTCCTTTTTACTTTCCTTTCTTTTTCCCTTTACCCGAGTTTCTCTCCATTTCTCGAGTTAAGAGCACTCCAAATCTACAAACATGGTTTTGGGAGACTCTGCCTCAGAACTCCGCAGCAGTCAGTCTTTTTTTTTTTTTCAATTTTCCTCAATTGTGGTTTCAGGCTATGTGCCATCTCCTACTCTCATACATGAAACTGGATGAGCCTATCTTAAGTTCCGGCTGAAATCACCAAAAATTGAACTTAAGTTTGCCCAGAACTTAAGTTCTACGTATATGCAGGGGCAGCGTCGCAGGCAGGCTGTGGGCGCCCCCTTCAACCCCGGGCGACTTAAGTCCTGCGGAGGATGTTACTGTAAGTCCCGGTGGAACTTGAGTTCCCAACTGGGACTCAAGATCTGCGCCGGGACTTAAGTTCAGCCAACTTAAGAGCGCTGCGATCGTAGTCACAGTAAATAGCTGAATAATTAATTATGTTGAACTTAAGTTCTACAAGACTTGAGTAGCAGCAGGACTTACATCGGGTACCAGTTCGGTGGCAGTGCAACAACGAGCAGCACCCAGACCACCCACGGGTTTGCGAGCATGGGGGGGCAGATAGGAGTCAAAAAATGCAGGGATGGGGAAGGCAAGGGAAGGGAAGGGTAAGATGGAGATACAGATGGTTCAGGGGATCGGAGGGACTGATGCACAGCGCAAAAAACAAAAGACACGCACCAGAGGGTGTGCCGTGGATAATGGGGATGAGGAGCTGAGAAATAGATTAGTTGAAGGTGTTCACAAAATAGAGAGGAGATATAGCGCACCTACATGCTTTTTCGTATCCCCCCTCCCTCCTCCTCGTTCAGTGTCGGCGGGTGGCACGACTGGCTTCTATTCGGTTGGTAGCACAAGTCTCCGACAGCCAAGAAAAGTGCCACCGCCCCAGGGAGCGCTAGAGGCAGCGTGGACCCTGGTTCCATGGGAACTTGGTTGTCGTGGCATGCTCGAAGGGTGGTGGTGGTCGCAAGAGAGAAGAGAGTAGTGAGGACCGGTGCATATGCGGGTTGACGTAAGATACCGAGTCCGGACAAGAAAAATCAAGATCCCGACCCAACTAGGGTCATAGTCCGGACAAAATCAGACCCTTGGCCAACGAACTCTGTTCAATCAATCCGGACAAGGTTCACGGCTGGGACCAAGTCCGATCGCAGTCCGGACACCGGTATCAGCGGGGATCCAGAGGGCCACCGGCAAATGGGAGTGTATATAGTTGCCGTGTCTGTACAACAATGAAGAAGCAATGCTGATGTGGACAATGTGTGGCCCAGGACATAGTAGCACATCAAAGCTACGGGCCACTGTGGCACAGGCTTGCGAGTAGTTTTTTTGCACAAAATAATCTTATACCAGTCGGAGCAAAGGGGCTTGGTTGCAGGGGTTACTACGCTAAACACAGTTCAGAGGCATGGAAAATCTAAAATAAATGTCGTAAATATAGAGGAGGAAGACGATGTAGACGCGTAGAGAGCATTAGGATTTTTTGGGATTTTTTTGGGATTTCTTTGAGTCTAAGCACAATCCGGACAAAATTTTGGCCAAAATCGAGGGTCAGAACGTCATCCGGACAAAATTTCGCGACCCCTGCTAAAAAAAAGTCCGGACAAGAAGTTTTCAGCTGGGATTTTTGGTATCAAACCTCGACCCGTATATGCACCGGTCCTGAGTAGTGAATAACGCGTGACTTGGTGAGTCACGGTGACCGACAATGTGGCAAACATGCCACAACCGATCACTTTGACTTAGCTCAAACTTCAATGAGCTCTCCGCTCTTCACCTCAAGACTCCACCCCCTCATCCTGCTCCATCATATAGTGTGTTCAGTCAACTTTTTCAAGCTCACACCCAGGTGCACTGACCCTTGACAGATCTCGGAAATGACTTTCACTTGAGTGGCACATTGCTGCCACCGGGCGACATCATGGTATGCCACATTCCTTAGGCTTATGAAATCAGGAACTCACTATGCATCCCAATAGGTTCACGGTATTAATTATTCAGGCCAGTTCCCCAGCCATGTCCCTCATTTTTCCTCAATATTAACATTAGTATTTATTCCAGTGCGTCCCAATTCCGTAGCCAGTATGTATTCTGAAATCTCAAGTCCCACTTTTTTTCCTACATCTTGAGACCCAAGGCCAGATCTTAAGATCTATGAGAACTTGAGATCTGCGAGCTCATCTTAAGTCCCTCACCCAGAACTTGAGCTTGGTGTATTGCCAGAAATATATTTATTATATAGTACAATGTAAAAACTTAAGTTCCAGTGAAACTTAAGTCCGGCTGGCGATGATTTCACCCGGAACTTAAGAGGAGCTAATCCATTATTTGCTCATACTAGTACTTAGCCCTCCCTTGAACCTTGCAAGCAAGACCCAGTGGCACATGGTGTGCATCTGCCCTTAATCACCATGGTGTGAAGCTGTGTGTGCAGACATCCCTGGTTCAACTCCAGGCTAGGTCATCTGAAAATATGAAAAACCATTTTTCTTCCATTTCATTTTACATGTACATGTACTTTACTTTTTTCCCCCAACTAGAGCTGTTCGTCGTGCCCATCGCCATGGTTCTAAGGGTGCCACACCCGTTCCGTCGAGAAATTTCCACACTGCTCGACGGCACGGGTCTGCCTCCCGGCCATCACAGCCACCGAAAGTGTTGAAATTTTCCAACACCAGGGTCCACGAAGTATGCATACAATTCGGGCCACAAAATATCTCCCCACTCATCACAACACGGAAACTCCATTTCCTTCCCCTTCTACCAGCCTCCTTCGCATTCAAGAATTTCTTGGCAGGTAAGCCGTTCTCGGCAAATACCGGAGTGTGATGGCCGAATTTGATCCTTGTGCCCTTTACACCGACGCTCATTCATTAGCTTTCAGAGGTTTCAAAAAGTCGAGAAAAAGGCTCAATGGCACCCCCCGTGTCACTGGAAGAAACTGGAGCGTCACAAGCATGGTTTTGGATGCGGAAGACTCCGACTGATTCCGCAGCAGTTGAACATGCTCCGTCTTTTTTCAATTGTTCTTTCAGTGTGGACTCTCTCAGGCTCCTGGTCTCATATTTTTCCCTAAAACTTTTGCAGGCAAGACCCAGTGTATATGGTGTGCATCTGCATTCAAAAAATAGTTTTCTTTACAGTTGTGCTGGTTCGACTCCAGGCTGGATCATTGTCATAATTGTAGATGTCATTTTTTTCCCCTTTGACTTTCCCTTTCCCTCCCAATTTCTAGAAGTATTCGCTGTGCCTTGAGTTAACAGAGTAATCAAACATGGTTTTGGAAGATATTGAATTTTCCTGACTCCGTGGCAGTCGGTCCTTTTTCAATTTTCTTCAATTTTTGGTTTTAGGCTCCTAATGTGCTATCTCATCTCATACTTAACCCTCCCCTGAACTCTTCAAGCCAAGACCCAGTGGCTTGTGGTGTGCATCTGCCCTCAATGAATGCGTACCATGAGACTTTGTGCAGACATCTCTGGTTCGACTCTAGGCTGGGTTGTCGGGAGAAAGTGCGTGAACTTCTCCTTTCTTTTTCCCTTTTACTTTACCTTACTTTCCCCCCTAGCCAAGTTCCTCTCTCTGTACTCAGAGGGAGAACTCCAGATCCACAAAGGTGATTTTGGAAGACTCTGACCCGGCCTGACTCCGCGACAGTCGGACACGCTCGATCTTATTTCAACTGTCCTCATTTTTTGGTTTCGGGCTATGTATCTACAGTACTATCTCCTCTCATATCTTTCCCCAGAACTTTTTCAGGTAAGACCCAGTGCACATGGTGTGCATCTGCTCTCAATTTGTTTGCCATTTCAACTGTGTTTTGTGCAGATGTCCCTGGTTCGACTCCAGGCTTGGTCATGGGTGCAGATTGAACTGTTTTTTTTTTCTTTTTACTTTCCTTTTCCCCCAAAGTTCCAGAGCTGTTCTGCCCTTCTAAGGACGGCACCATGCCGTTCCATCGAGAAATTTACACACTGCTCGATGGCACAGGTCTGCCTCCCGACGGCCATCACGGCTGCTGAATCTATTGAATTTTTCCAACACCAAGGTCCACGAAGCACACATACAATTCGGGCCACAAGATATCTCCCCACTCATCACAACACGGAAACTCCCCTTCTTCCCTGTTCTCCTTCGCATGCAAGAATTTCTTAGCAGGCCATTCTCGGCAAATACCGGACTGTGATGGCCGAATTTGATCCTCTTGTGCTCTTTACGCCGGCATTCATTCGTTTCAAAATGTTGAGGAAAAGGCCCAATGGTGCCTCTATGTCACTGGCAGAAACTGGAGCACACCACCAACGTGGTTTCGGAAGACTCTGAATCTGTCATACTCCGAGTCCGCGGCAGTCGGACACATGTTCATTTTTCAATTGTCCTCAATTTTTGGTTTCAAGTTGTGTATCCACTATCTCCTCTCATACTTGGCCCTCCCCTGAACCTTTCTAATTGTGACCCAGTTGCACATGGTGTGCATCTGCCTTGAATACATGAGAAACTTCTATACAGACATCACTGGTTCGACTCCAGGCTGGGTCATACAGGCTTCAAAACATCCTCTTTTTCCTTTTACTTTCACTTACTTCCCCCTACCCGAGTTCCTCTCCGTACATCGAGTTAACAGATCTCTGGATCCACAATATAATTTTGCGAGACTGTGGCCAGGCCTGACTCCACGGCAGTCGGCTTGTTCTTTCTTCAATTCAAGTTGTCCTCAATTTTTGGTCTTAGGCTGTGTATCTACTATCTCCTCTCATACTTAACCCTCCGCTGAACATTTTGAACAATGGCACATGGTGTGCATCTGTACTCAATGATTGAACAGGACAAAGATTTGTGCAGACATCCTGGTTCGACTCCAGCCTGTGTCATTTATGAACATGTTTTTTCCCCCTTTGCTTTACTTTTTCCCCCGGGCCTAACCGAGTTCCTCTCTCATTGTATCGAATTAAAAAGGGCACTCCGGATCCCAGTGATTTTGGAAGACTCTGAATCTGTCAGACTCCGAGTCCGCGGTAGTCGGACGCACTCGGTCTTATTTCAATCAATGTCATCCTCAATTTTTGGTTTCAAGCTGTGTATCTACAATCTCCTCTCTTATCCCTCCCCTGAACTCTTCCAAGTAAGACCTAGTGGCACATGGTATGCATTTGCCCTCAATCAAAATTCTCCAGAAATGTTGTACAGACGTCCCTGGTTCAACTCCAGGCTAGGTCATCTGGAAATATGAAAAACCATTTTTCTTCCCTTTCATTTTATATGTACTTTTCCCCCCGAGTTATAGAGGTGTTTGCTGTGCCTCGAGTTAACAGAGTAATCAAACATGGTTTTGGAAGACTCTGCCTCAGAAATCTGAGTCCACAGAAGTCGGACGTGCTTGGAATTGTTTCAATTGTCCTCAATTTTTGGTTTCAGCCTATTTCTCGTAGACCTCCCTGAATTCTTCCAAGCATTGAAGTAAGGCCCAGTGGCACATGGTGTCCATCTGCCCACAATTAAAGTATACATGTCAATACTGTGCAGACATCCCTGGTTCGACTCCAGGCTGGGTCATAAATATCTAGTAAGATATGTTTTTCTTTCCCTTTTATTTTACATGTACTTTTTCCCCTGAGTTCTAGGGCTGCCCACCACCGCGGCGGTTCTATGGGTGCCGTGCCCATTCAATCGAGAAATACAATCCACACTGCTCGACGGCACGGTCGTGTGTTTTCCCCTTCTAATAAGCACATTTCTGGCCGGAAAATTTGACCAGGGTGGCTCACACGGATGAAAGGTCCTCATCACTCGGTGAGTACTTCATCCACCCTGTTTCCACATCGAAATGTCCAGTAACGATGGTCTCGGCAAACCCCGGCGATTCCCGAAGCGTGATGGCCGAGTTGAGTGTTCAACATGCTGCCGTTCATTTTTTTTATAGCTTTCGGGGCTTTCAAAAAATCCATAATATTAAGAGAGCTCTAACGAAGCTTCTGGTCTGTTGGATAAATCTATATTAGAATTGTTCAAACAATGAGCGTCTCAACATAAAACCATGTTTGAGCATTGTTCTGTTGAACGGGACTGACTGCCCAACACGAGAGGCTGTCAGAGCCACCTGGGTTTGAACACTCGTTTAAACAGGGTGCTTGAACGGCGTTGAACTGGAACCCTGCTCAAATAAACGGTGTTTAAACGGCCACCGAAATTCACCAAAAATGCATCACAGCTGGATCGAACCAAGGACCAGTGGCAGTGCAAACGAGTACCAGCACCACTTCCAACTCCGTCATCTTTGACATTGGAAATCATTGAAATTTAGTGCTCATGCCATGACATCTCATCGCCGGGGCTTGTAATCATATTCTCCTTTTTTTTTTTTTTTTTTTTTTTGGAATCAAAAAAAATCATATTCTCCTTTTAGTTATACTCAGGAACTTGTCTACAGTACATATCCCATGAAATCAAGTTGCCTACCATCAGACTTCTCTGCAACACATTTAGGAGAAACTACAGGCACACAACATTTTTAATAAACTTACGTGCCATAGTGCTTCGAGTACTGCCAAACCTGCGGCTGCATCCATGTCACCCATTATCCAACATGTTCATTTTCCAAGAATAAAATGTTCACTATGAGGCTGGATATTGCTGAAGGCGGCAAACAAATTCTTGATATCAGGATCCAAAATTGAGCCATTGACCTTTGGAATCTTCAATCATATCTACAGAGCCCAAAAAGAGCACAATGTACCGAAGGCGCGAACGAATTAAATGATCCAATACTTTTTCCGAGTCAGTGTAGTAGCAAACCACTCCAAGTCTTCAATACAATAGTTTTGTTGAGTGCCACTGGTCCAAATTTTGTCTTATCGGTGAGATATGATCACCTTGCATAACAGTGTTTAATGAAATAAATCACAATGGTACTTGCTATTCTGCCTGGATAAAGCAGGTAAGGCCGATGAACGGCACGGCCCGGTAACGTGCTCTGGTTAAAACTTAAATAGCAATTATAGCATTGACAGAGTGGATCCACCACTGGCAGCATGACTGCATAGGCTCACGAAGATTGTGAAATGTGGTGTGACTGTAACTGAATCTATAGTTGTGATAGTCACCAGCAAGCTGCTTATACAGATCAAAGGCATCCAGCAGTCTAAATCCCTCTCAGTTGATGTACAGATATCAACCAGCTGGTTTTGGCAATAAAACTGGATTAGTGGAGATCTGAGACTGTGAGAGTTGGGTCGGATGATTGGGCTTCAATTACGGACTTGAGTAGTGGGTAGGGACGAAGGCTTTGGCTTGCCAATATCCTGAGTCCAAGGGTGTGGGGTCGCCATTGGGCATAAGCCTGTGCTTGAGTGTTTTTTTTTTTTCAATTGCATTTCTTCAGGGGCATTGGTGCACATGGCAGACTGAGTCCGGGTCAGCAAACAATATTGAGTAGCATGGTGCTTGCCACCCGACCTGCGGTCAGCTCAACCTCGTGCATCTCTACATTTACAGCTAATAATAGTACCGAAGGCGCAGAAATTTTTCATTTTGGGAAGGTTTCAAAGAATCTGTAGCTCCGTCAATTCTCAATGGATTTGAATGAAGCCTACTTAGCTAGAATTAACACGATCCCACATTAGTGATAGAAACAAACTTGTGAAAATATTCGATAATAGATGACCTTGGATTGTGGCCTATGTTGGGGTTGAATCTCATCTAGCAAGCTTGGGACAGGTTCGGATGGTCTGGTTTTCTGAGACGGAAGACTTTTATGGGTTTTAATGGAGCCAGAATTGCAGTCTATGGTGCCACTTTGAGGACAATGGGCAATCAGTCTGATGTGGAAATATTTGTGAACATTGGACAGCCATGACCCTGATGCAGAAGTACCTACATAAAATGTATCCTGTGGGTAATATTGGATATGTAAGAGACAATTTTACATAAAGAGGGAGAAAAAATAAAAGTAGATGCAGACAGAGAAACTTGTATGGATGGCAATCTAAGTGGATATACAACGAGACATTGAACCGAGTGCAAGGAATACATGTGGAATTTGGTGATTAGGTGAGGTACAAGCAATGAACTTTGAGCAAGAGACGACCGCAAGTAAAGAAAGACACCGAAGAGTGCAGCATAAGCAACATTACGAGTCCACGCGTGGCAAGAAGTGGCCGGAGGCGAGCCGAAGCATTTTGGCGGATGGGAAACTGCTGACGCAAAAACTGCTGACAAAAACGAGAGTTTACTGCGAGGAGCTGTCAAAACATGTTCCCTAAGACCCGGTAACTTACGTTACCGGGAATTTTCAAGTACTCGGAAGGTTCCAGATTAAATGCCATCCTGTAGATACCAGGGTGGCAAAAAGCCTAGCTTTTTCGGGCAAAACATTGCCTCCGGCAGCTCTTAATCAGGTTGCTGCACAAAATGAACCCCTAGTTCAGTGTCGGCCGGCCAATCAGTATATTTCTTTGGCCAAAGGTACTTTGGTAGATTCCAGATTAATTTTTTTCCATGAGCCTTACATTCCAATGCAATGTGCTCCAACGTCTCTGGCATATTATAGATATGGCACCTTCCAAATATCTCAAGGTGAAGTCTGGGTTGAATGTCATTGCTTTATCACTTTCCATAGGCTTGCTATTTGACTCTAGCTCCTCATTTGAGAGGGACGATGGACCATCGCGTGAAGCGTCAATTGGGGTTCAAATCGGTTTGACCTGAGTTCTTCGCGCCTTCTCCAAACAAAGCACCCAAATGTTGATAATCTATATAAGAAAAGATGTGGTATCTCTGGACAAACGTCAAAGTGGAGCGAGGTGGAGTACACGGACATCCGGTCCGCCAGAGTACCACCACAATGATCTCGGTCGACTTTGCTCTTGGCACTGCTCTGCTGCAGCTCCGAGCCTCTGGTAAACCACTATCTATGAATGTGGGTATGTACCTGTAGAGTCTCTATGCTCAGCAATAAGACTGCGGAGTATGATGCCAAAAGATTTGACTACATTGGATGAAAATTAAGGGAGGGGAAAAAAGCGGCGGAACTATTGCTCGAATGTTCGTGTAACCCTTCTTCGGCTGAACACGAGTGTAGGCTACCCGTGTGAGTTCAGTAACCTACATGTACAGTACTGCCTTAAATTGAGGAACAAAACTGTTTGCTCATTTCTTGAGTTCATTTTATAAACAAAATGATCTATTCTGTACAAATTTATGTACAGTAGAATGCTATAGCTAGAAAGCATTGGTCCTGTTACCAAGAACATTAAAATCAACTGAACTATATATATAAAGACTATTTGGGGCCAGCTAATTGTCAATGAGGCCGCGAGGAACCAACCGAAGGTTGGTGACTATGATTCCAAGTTTCAACCATTGAGTTGTATGCCGAGATCACCTATGGATAATTGAAGATATTTTACTGTAATCTCCCGTGGCATAGCACGGGTAACTGCTAGTATGTACTAAGATCCCTCTTATTCATATTTAGTAGGCTGCTTTGACGATGAGACCACACAAGCATTCATAAAGGAGGTTGAACGTGTCGGCCATGACCC